ATATATATATATATATATATATATATAACACCCACCATCCTCCTATGAATATCTACCTCTTTCTGTCTGTTTTTCTATTTGGAGCTTTACCAGGCCTTGAGTAAAACCAACCACAAACCACCCTACAATGCAGGACTGGATCAGTGATTAAGGTTCCAGGAAGAGAAGCTAGATCGAACACTGTCTAGGCTTGACTGAAATACTAAATATGCATGATAAATGAAGTAATGGACACTTGTGAGTCCTGTAGTATCCCAGCTGAGCTCATTCAGGATATCAAATGTATTATGTGCATAATTTATGATGCCGTTTTAATCTCTGTAGTAATGCATCCAAACAGTTTTGTTTTCCACAGTGGCAATTTTTAGGCTTGTAAACAAATGACTGGCTGTTGAAACCTCTCTCTATGACACTATTTATATCCTGGCCCCCATAATTTAATACAATACATAACTTATGAATATTATTTAATAATTATTTATGAAAGAATATTATTAAATCAAATCATAAAAAACATAAATATAAAAGCATTATGGCAATTTATTTAATTTTATTTAATTTTATTCCTAGCACTTGATTTACCTAATTAGATCAGTGGCTATTGTTTATTTTAGCTCAAAAATGATTGCATTTTCCCTATTAAATTCATGATTAGACATATCATTTTTATCAATCATATCACAAGCTCCATAGATATATTATTATGCCAAGAAAATGTCCAGTTAAGCATTCTGTTGCCTCAGCTTCAGACGACATGCTCACAGACCCTTGCCAACATGGCAAGAAACTGGCTGAAATCTCTAGCTCTGATTGGCTGAATGGTGTGCAAAATCTATGAGTCCGTGCACATCGTGTTGTAAAAATACGTTAATGTTTGTAATTTTGGTGCCATCAAATCTTTGAAAGATACAGATGCTTGAGGCACTGAGTATCAACTATTCTAGCTATTTCAGAGCAACACTCTTTTTTTGTGCTTTGTTTTGAGATATATCTGTGAATTATTAGGCCCTAATTTCATTAGAGAATTTTTTATAAAATTTTAATTTCTTTTCAGCCATTGTTAAAAGTTGCATATAAACATAATGAACTGTGGAACAGACTTTATTCCACTAAAAAGCCTGGCTCTGTGAGTCTAAGCAATCTGAAACGTGCTATCCCATGGATTATTTGATTATTTGTGTCTCATCTCCCCAGAATTGTAACAATTGGATTAAACGGCAGATGAGCCAGCAGTGCAGCTGCTAAAAGGGAAAGCTTAATACATGGGGAAGTGGTCTGGGACCCTTGTGGTCAAGAGTTTTATAGACTGAGACACTTGGCTAGTCAATCGCTTTGGCCATTCAAGACATGTGACTTATCTAAACTTGTGGTCTAAAGGGGCAACAACGTAACAGTTATGACTCAATCATCAAATTAATACGGCATACTATAGCCAAAAATGGTAGGTTATCCTGGAATTTCTCACCTTTCACTGCACAGTAGTGGTTACATATATGTTTTGTTTCTGATGACTGTGATTAAATCTTTAGGCCTGATCGTGGGGAACATTTGCTGATGAACAGCGCCGTCACTTGATGCAGATGTGACACCAAAAAGAGACAGCAGCTGTTTCACAGACAACTGATCTAAACAGAGACATTTACACACACACAGAGATATCTGACTGACAGAATGTCGTCCTTTGTGGGCCGTTGTGATTTATAGGATAGCACTCGATATCAACCCCCTGTGGTCACACTCTTGTACACACACACACACACACACATACACACACACACACACACACACACACACACACACATTCAGGACAATGTGACCTTGGGAGTCCATATCACAGCATATGTGTGTGTGTGTGTTTGTGCAGGATGGAGTGTCAAGAGAGGGAGAGAGCAATTCCCATAATGCAATCTACTGTATAGAACCAGTAAGAACGAGAGAGAGAGAGAGAGAGAGAGAGAGAGAGAGAGAGAGAGAGATTGGACAATAGAGACCCACTCACGGTTGAAGAATGGAGGAATGCATTAACAAGACTGAGTTTGGGACACTTTGGAGCAAGAAACACAATCATGGACTTCGGATTGAGATTGGCCACGCAATAGTAAAGGAAAAGAGAATAATTTTTCATTAACATGAGCTTGGTCTGGATGGATTTCATTTTGGACGCCACGCATCAAATGATATGCAAGCACTGGAACGCATTAAATGTTGTCAACGAAAACCAATCGGTGATTGCGAAGATGCTGGACTCCCCTGGACTGCGCCAACGAGGGGAGCATGATGTTGCAAAACTTAGCCAGAAGGGAAAGGCAGAGAGGAATGGAGGGGAGGAGGAGGATGAGGAGGAGGAGAGGTGAGGAGGACAGCAGGAGGAGGGAGAAGGCGAGCCGGAGAGGTAGAGAGCGAGAGAGTCTGCATTTCAAGTGATTAACAGTGACCTTAGAATCTCCCTCTATGTGTCTCGCTCACTCTGCATTAAAGTACAATGCTGCAGTTCTTCAGACCTTTATCGTCCCAGGAACAACTACAAGAGTGTCTGCAGGAGGATGCAGCCCTCCCTGCCTCTGTTTCTCTCTTCCTCCCTCTTTTTCTATAACTTTATGATGCGTGGACGGCGAGCAGTGATGCTGAGGCCTGAGAGCGGAGGAGAAGTTTGGACTTGTGGGCAGGATGGGCTTCACAGGACAGGGTTGCCCTTTAAAATCTCTTTGAATTTAAGAGCGAAGGCTTCTCGTATTATGGTTCATTACCAGGTAAGTAAAACCTTAAGTCATTTTATTTGGTTGTACTTTGAATGCATGCATCTGGATCTCTTTAAGCTCACTCTAGTCTAGAGTATTTTGCCATATTATTTATGGCAGTGAGTGCTATAAAAAGTGTATGTAGTGCAGTTGTTTCTTTAAGAACTATTTGTATACCTGATTCAACACTTCCGATTACGTTTGTTGGTATAACGTAATGTAAGTGATTTGGTGATTTTGAAATGGACTAATTTAGATAGTACCACATGAAGCACATTTTTAGGTTTACTGACAAAACTTTATAAATTATTTTATATGTATGGAAAACGTATATGATGAAGAGACGCTTTTAACAAATCTTTACACACACAAGGAGTAACTCATAAAGTTCATGAGGAAATGTAGCAAAACTTGTCAGCATCAGGAATGAAAAATCACACTAAACCAAACAAATACACTTGTACTGAGATGCAGTTGAAGGTGTGGCTATGGTGTTATGCACTTATCTTGCGAAATACTAAGAGATTACATTGTGCATTTTTAAAACTCTCATCAAGATAGCTGATTGCTTTTAATAAATCATTTTTTATGCGTAAATGTTATGTTCTCCTCTTAAAAGTAGTATTTTCTAATTTTATTTTAATCATTACACTTTTATTTGCAGATGACAACCAAGTAACTGTAAAATATAATTATAAAAAAAAAACATTTACTTGATGCACTTAAAAATTCACTTAGTTTGTTCATAACCAAAGTTATATCATTAATATTTTTGGTTATTTTTTAAAGGATATTTAGTGTACAGTATAGATTGAATGCATGTTTTTTTGTTATGAATAATGTATCTATCTCAAGTATTTAGCTTCAGTGATGTTAAATTATATTTTTGACTTGAATAAAGCCAATTAATTTACATGTTGCCATTTTTTAGGTTACCATTTATTTCAGTGTAGAGAAGAATCAAATGATTACATTTCTATCATGAAAATGGCAGAAACTTCATTAATTAGAAATTCCTTGAAAGAAGAGA